TGTCCTTGAACAATTCCCAGTATTCATTAATACTTACTAATTAAAATTTACATTCCTTTTCAGTTCTGCTAACAGATTCAAGCTTGGAAAAACTGGCCCTCTAAAACATCTAAGTATAACTACTTGGTGTCATATACAGTTCATACTTTTAAAGTAAACATAATCACCTTGTTTAACAGTTCTTCCTGTTTGATGGTCACTGCTGGACAATATTTATCTCTTTTTCCATCAAAATTATGTTCAGTTTTGAACTTCCTTGTGCAAGATGACTCTCCACACTTTGAGATTATCTGCTACTATTTTGGGAAGCTCTAGGGAATTCTGGTGTTGGCAAAACAAAACCTTAGAAAATATCCCTCAGTTTAAACACTTCAGTGATAGATTATTTTTTTCTCCCCACACCAAAGGGGAAAATATTGAAAGAGCAGCTCTTCTCACTGTCTCTGTGGTTGGTTTTGGTTTGTTTTTTTTCCCTGTAAGGTACACAGGAATCTGTAATTATCTTTTGACTCAGAAGTACCAAGTTCCTGTTACTAGATTATTTTTGACTCTTCAACATGCAATGTTTATTGGATGCAGTATTCCATCTCCAGTCCCTCTTCCTTATTAAGAGGGCTAAAAATATAATCAATATCTCTAAGACTCCAGCACTATGACACCTTCCCAAGTTTCAGAAATATTAACTATGTGACATTTCTCCACATATATTAATACTGCCTCTTCTCACCTATTAACAAGGTGCTTGAAAGTTCATTTAGCAACTCTTTTACAATCTAATATGTCCCTTATCACTTGTCTTTGTTGCATGTCTGGTGGGCTGGTTGTGATTCACACACACAGAGTACATACTTGCTGGAATTTTTTTTATATTATTACCCAAATCCCTGCTTAGTTTAAGACCCTTCTGGCAGTTTTTCATTGACTGGGATGGCTTTTGCTGAGATGGTCAACAGGATCAGATTTTCCAATCTCTCAGGTGAGAAATCATCAACAGCCTGTCAGATGGTACCTGACAAGGTCCCAGTACCAGCCTACACCCTCTTAGCTTGAATCTCACCCAGGCTTGACTTCAAAATTTTCCACTTTCATCTAGAAAACCAGAAAAATGCCAGTTGTCCTTGAAATATCTGGCAGGCTCTTTCCAATATGTTGTCAAGAAAGACTGCATGTCATTGTCCTGTGAAGGATGCTTTCATGGGTTTTCATTCATAAAGAGGACTGAACATAGCTCAGACCAGATTCTCCTGGTCTGAACTATGTTCAGTCCTCTTTGTGAATGTTAAAAATTAACTGATGAAAGTTAGTTAAACAAAATGGAGGAATAAAACCATGTCATTTATGGCAGGTCATTGTTTAGCAGGTGAAATGATCAATTATAAATATAAAAAGTATGTCATAATTGCCACAGGAAACAGCTTGCAGGCAATTCCTAGACTGAAATATTTTGCCTAAACTATTAATCAAGTAACTTCAACTGATGAACAAAAGAACTTAACTGCACTTGAATAATTTGCAAATAAGGAAAAAGAAATAGATTTGTCAAATTAATTATTCATTATAAGTAGTTCAACCAGACCTATCCCTTTTTATCATTTACATTGGTTTTAAATTCTTAAAGTGGTTTGGGAACCTTAAAGAGTAAAATTTGCTATAAATGCTTAATGCAATGATCATTTATATATGGCACTGTAAACGTACAAACATACTTTACTTCGCACTGAATTAGGCAGTGGAGACCATAAAAGTGGTTACAATAGCTTTAAGTCTCAAAAAGGGGTTAAAAGCCTGATATTCTGATATTTTTCAGAAGCTGGATACCTGCAGTTTGAAGATTACAATTAACCCTCTCAGCAGCTTCAGGAGCCACTGGCAGTGTCTCCACCAGGGCAAGCAGCCAGCTCTGACAGGGGTGCAATGGGCACAGTCTTCAGGCTTCAGCAGGGACCTGATTTCTAGAAATGCTCATCTGCAGCTCAGTTCTGAGCCTGTTTGGTGGCCTGTTTCATTTTGTTTGGTTTTAGCACGGTTCACTTGAGGAACTTTTCAAGCTATGGCCCTATCCGGTAATACTCGGCTTGCAAGCTCAAATGGGTTGACACAGGTGGTGTGAGCACATTGCTTAGCATGATTTCAGGTAGGACCCATTTTTTCCCAAAATATCACTGTCTTCTGAGAACTGGAACACCATCAAACACATTGGAACAGCTCGGATTCTGGCATCCTTGTCCACAGTACACAGCATCAGCTCCATAGGCAGCCCTGAAACCATGCAAAATCTTACACTTCAGATATTAATACAATCAAAACTGCTCATGAAATTTAGAAAATTAAAGGTGTTTAGAGAGATCAGTGACAAATATAATTTTGAAATCTGACAGTGACTTAAATGATAAAAACATCCTAATAACATTTGCTTTTTCAGGTGGTCGGGAGCTTGTTGTTGTTTGCTTTATTTTGTTTTTTCATAGCACTGGCATTTAACAGAGAGGCTCTGATTTTAACTCTGAGTAAATCTGACATAGAATCACCCAGAGGAAATAAATATAAAGTACTATGAGGCCATGTTTACAATTACTTTTTTAAGCTCTTTCTGAATTAAGTATGCCACATCTCTGCATCAGTTCTGCTGTAGTAGGTAAGCAATGCACTATTCAAATGATTTTTAATGACCAAAGCCCCCATATTTTAGGGTTGAACATCTGTTATCTATTCAGACAGTGAGTAGTCAAGTCAGTATTTGGGTGAATAATTTGCAAATTCAATGCATAGAAGATTTGGTACCAGTGCTAAGGTTAATTCATTTTTTTCCTGGGACATTTTGTAGCCAAATGGAATCAAAATGTCCTCACACATTACTTCACACCCACCTACTTCTTTGAGAAACTAAACAGTGTTGGACAGCACTGAAGACTCTAAAGATAACATGGGATGAAACAGGAGCCATGAATAAAGCAGGAAAAAGAAAAGTGCTTTAGATGTTAGTCTACAAAATGCAGTGTTCAGCTCAGCACAGCTGAAACAAAGTAGTTAAAAAATCAACAAAGAAACCGTAAGAAAAGCTAGCACTGTTTGGATTTATTCATTCTTACAACAGCAGCTCATAATCCAATCACAAAAAGAATACTGGAGCATCCAGTACATGGTGTTGGGCAGGAAGATTTCAAAAGTCTTTAGAACAAGAAGAAGCACCTTTCATCCTCAGATATTTAATCTGCAGCATATGGCTTCATGTATTTGCTGTTGTTTCTTCTAAGACCAATGCACACCTGAAGCTTTCCCACTCCTAGTTACAGAACTCTCTGATGTTTGTAATGGTCTGGCACCAGAGGAACTAACCTGGTACTTTGGATTGCTAAAGGGAGACAAGCAGAGCATGAAATAACTCACTAGTGTCTAGCAGCACTAGGCATTCAAAAGCTTAATAGGGAGTCAGGGGCTGCTTGTGTGTGTGGTCTCTTTGCTGTTTGGTCTTGTAGTTCAGCTGTACCAAATGGGATTAGTCTGGATGACTGTGGCAGGAAAGCGTGCTTACACTTCTACACTTATGCTAGATCAAAAAAATATTAATTAGAGTATACTGCAGCAGAGCCCAATGGAAGTTGTTCACTGTCCTTAGGATGAGATTGTAAGATTTTACCATTTGCTGATTTCAAAGTTCATTAACAGCAAAATTGGGCTGTAGGATAGTAGAAGAAACTGAGAACTCTTAAAGTCACCCTCTTCTCCCCCCACCTTTAATACAGGAAAGCAGCAAGAGATTCAGGAGCAAAAACTAAGCCTGGACCCCAGGGCTGGACTGGAAGACCAGAACACTTCCAGCCTTTGTACCTCTGCCTCTCTCTAACAGAGATTAACAAGACTCTAATCTTGACAGTCTAACTGGGGAATGAGGGGTGGGCAGGAGAAGGGAGGAATGCTTTGTACCTCACCAGCATCTCTGCAAACCTCATTAAGCAGAAAAGTCCTGTTCTCTCACAGGTCACCCAGACTTTCTCAAACATTACATTTCCCACCTTTTCATTTGGGTTCTTGCTCTAAGGAATGTCCCTAGAACAGATAGACTGTCACTGATGGATAAAAGCTCTGTCATCACTGACCTTATGCACAACATCATTATTCACAGCTAACTGATCCCTGGGTATGACAAATTATTTTGTCCCAATAGAAAAATGAGATCATAACATTTTATCTAGAAAGTATGTCTAGTCCATTGATGTCTCATCATAGCTAGCACAGCATTTGATTTCAACAGGTTAAAGAATTAATGAGCCCCATATATGCTTCCTGTATACATTTTAAACATGGGATTATAAAGCTTTAGGGGTTTAGGTCAATTTACTGGCTTGGGAAAAATAAAATACTTGTTGTGACCACTGTTCTAGGCAAAACCAGCATCCCTCTACTGAGTTTGAATACATGACAAAAGCTTCTGCATATTGTCTGCTGGCTCCCAAAATGGTCAAACTCATTTTGAGCTCCTTCAAAATTATACCTCTGTTTTTACTTAAAGTTTCATAAGGAAAAGTCACACTTTTTTTTGTGGTTCTTTACCAAAGGACATCAAACATTGTCCTGTGTGTTTCTCAAAGCCTGCACAGAGCTTTGAGTCCTTCTAGTGCATGTTAATACATACTCCTGGCAGCTTCTCTTTTACTGGCTCAGTCATATAGATCCAAATTTCACAAACAGAAATCAGCTGCAGAAGAAAGGAGAGAAATGTCCTGCTTGAGACCACAGTTATTTTAACACTCTCTACCCACCTTCCTGCAAGAGAGAGGAAGTAGTAGCACAAGGCACTACTATTATGTCTGTTAGAAGTATCTTATAATGCTCAAAGATTTCTTCTCAAAAGTGTAAAAAACTTAAAAATAATAATAGTATCATTTCACTAAATGAATAGAACCTCTGAGAAACTTTCTTGGACAATATAATTTGGATGTTTTCAACATCGCTTATTTTATTTCACAACAAACTTAGATTTTATCACATGATTGCTTTCCCAATTATAGTGCAAAATAAAAGGCATCATCAAATAGTTTAATAGGTGCAGAGGAAAATGTAGTTTTGTACATCAAATGATGCAGAAAATAATGTGACAACAACTAAAAAGAGAAAAAAAAAAAAAATCTGTGTTGGGATAGAAAATTATTGCTATGGAGTTATTTGTCCTGTATCTCCTCAATGGAGGAAAGGGACAGAGAGCCTGCAGGTTTGATTATTATTTTTCTGATAAAGTGTACACTGGGATAAAGGGAAGATTTCCTCTTCCAAGTAGGGTCTGCAGTCCTTGCAGTGAGTGTGTAATATCAACAGTTAAAAGACAAATCACGTTTATCCGTAAAAACAGAAGTCCACGCTTAGGCTGCAGGGTAGGAGATTTAGGCAGAGGCACTGACAGTTTTTCTTTAGAAAACTGTTTGTATTTTCCCCCGCAATCTACTCAGACACATACTAATAGAATTTTAAAAGGTCTGTACACATCCACCGGTGCTCAGATGGCATGTTGATAAGCACCTCCTGGTGATTTTCAGATCTCCAGCTCCAGCATGGACCGCTGATTACCTCAGTCTGCCTGGCAATGCACAGCACTAATCTATCTCAAACCAGAGGCCCCCGAACAGCATAGGGTGGGGAGCAGTGGATCACCAGAACCCTCTTCAGAAGGCCTGCATCCAGGCCATGCAGCACAGGGATGTATTATTTATGGCCGTGCCTCAGTGTGATTACCTCCAGTTCACTGGAAGCCTCTCCAAAACAAAGGTTGCTCTAGTCCTGCTCGCCATTGGCACCAGGCCCTCCTCGCTCCTGCTCTCCCCCTCTGCTGTAAGCAGAAATAACAGCCCTCTCTCTAATTAGCTGTCTTTAAGGCAGGGCTAAGTGGGCTCAGTGGGGGGAAGAGGCTTTCCTGAGCCCCTCCAAGGCTCTCCTCAGCGCTGGCAGCCGGAGCGCGCGCGGCCTCCGAGAGGCACCGCAAAACTCGCTGGCATTATGGCCACGGGTTATCATTATCATCTTTTTTTTTTTTTTAAAAAAACCCTGATCGATCGCTCCCAACCACAATGATGCTTCAGGGCATCTCTCTCTCTGCTGGGGAGTGATTGACCATTGGGTATCATTAGAGAGGGGAGGTGAGGGGAGGGAGGGAGGCGAAGGGAAGACAGGCTGCAGTGGCAGCACCAGGCCCCGGCTCCTCCTTGCGCACACCTCTCCCTCCCGGACACTGCTGACCTTTCACTCAGGAGCCAGCTGGAGTCAGGAGAGATTTAATTGAATGGCTTCCTCAGATGTGTCTGAGGTTTGGGTGATGGAGGAGGAGGATACGGCGCTGAGAAGAGAGGAGTGTGGGGGGGGAGAGGAATGGAAAAGAAAATGGAAAGGAAAAAGGAAAAAAAAAACCAACAACTTGGGGTGACCTTCAAAGGCTAATTGCTTGGCTCTTGCTAGGCCTCTGCTAGGCTTGCACAGAGATCTGGGCACTGGCAGGGCCAGGGCTGTCCTTCCCTGGGCACAGGCACTGTCCTGCTGCCCTGGACTCCCCTTCAGCCTCTCCCTGTGCAACCTGTGAGCCAAATCGGCCACCTCTGCCCTCCTGGGTGTGCCACATGAGCAGAACAAGGGTCATCCGAATTTTCTAGGCCTCCTCATTCGCTGGAGAAAGGTTTTGGGAGGGGTGGGGGCAAGAAGCAAGCATCCTTCTGAGCGAGTGCATAAATACACAGAAATGTGCATAGATGTTTTCTTGTCTTTTTTTTTTGGTATCACATTTCTCTTCAGGCTGAGTAGAGAAATGGCCAATAAAAAGGAAAACCACAGAGGTCCCAGCCAGAGAAAGCTAGCCACTGTCCTGGTGCTTGCCCTTTTCCAGTCACCTCCCATTTCCTCTGGTTTGGCTCCTTTGTTTGTGCACCTTGGCAGCGCTACCCACCCACCTCCTGCTCCTCCTCCTCCTCCTCCTCCTCCTCCTCCTCTCCTCTCCTCTCCCTTCCCTGCATGTCCCCCTCAATTCCTGCTCCCCCCTTTCCATTTTAACATAACTAAAAAGGAACGAATGGATCTCAGCTGAGTTAAATGGGTGACAAGGGAGATGGAAAGAAGGAAATTCATCCCTTCTTGTCTTTGAGAGCAATTTAATTAGGCCCAGGCCCCCTGTGAGTGGGTAAGGGAAAGGCTGAGGATTGGCTTGTCTGGGCTTCCTCTGAAGGCAAAAGCGGCCTTGGACACACATACAGAGAAAGGATTTTTAAAGGATCATGTAAGAAGATCAACAGATAAGCAGCTAATTTTGTGTACTTAGGGAGAAAATGAGTGCGTTCACTCCCACTGGAATAGCCAGAGTGATGGGATGAGAGGAAGGAAAACGAGGAAGAAGCAAGGAAAAAAGCTTAAGGTATTTCACCATTACTGCTGATTGCCAAAATTAAAGATTTATACTGCTTGATAGGGTACTCTGGCTATGGCTTTCACAGTGGCTGTGCATGTGTACATATATCTATATACATACATATATAGATATAGATTTTTCTTTATACAGCTCAGTTATTTCAAGAATTTTCATCAGAAAACCACTTTTAAACTAATTGGAGTCTGTGGAGAGGAAACCTCATTTTTGGTTCAAATGAATTTTCTGAAAATGTCATTTGATTCGGGAAATATGACTGATCTGCCCGATTTCTTGATAAGAAATGAAATGAGCCGTTGTCCTTCAGGATATCATAGACTTGAAATGGGGGATTTTATGGTTAATGCCATCAGATAGAAGTGTCCTACTTTGAAAGGAGAAGTCCATCAGCCCCAGGGAAAGGCTGAAGACCGAATTTCGTCTCTAAATCCACAGCTGCAGCTAGAGCTGGCACAGAGCAGTGATAGATTTTTTTATTTCCCAAGCAATAATTACAAGATCAACAGCAATAAATAACACAATGATTAATAACAACAAGTAGTTAGTTCTTTTTCAGCTCTTCATTTTAATTCATAATTTTTCCCCTCAGCGATGTGGCCAGTGCTGACCATGGAGGCTAAATTTAATCCACAATATTACAACACCTTAGCTTTTAATTATCTCACATAGAATAAACCTGTATTTGGAGATGGCTGACTTCTTAGTGCAACAGAAACAGGATCTCTTGGATGTCAGTGTAACCTTGCTAACTCCATTTTTTGTAGGGTAAAAACTAAGAAAAGACAAGATAAGTGACTTTCCCAAGGCCACAAAAGGAATTAGTCAGAGAGACAAGAAAGTCCCTCAAAGTCCTTGCTGGAGGGCTGGTACCATTAGTTAGTTTATCTTTTTCATAGCAGCATATATGCAAATAGAAATGGAGTCATACGGATAGGAAAAATGAGATCAGGGACAAGAGGAAAGGCAAAGAGAGAAAGCCAAATAAGTGTAAGTAAATGTTCAAAAGGGCTGATTCAAGCTAATATTGAAGCAGCAGGTTTTAAACAAGACATCAGGAAGAAACAAACGGAGTGGGACTCGTCAGTGACTTGGGTAGAAGGTTGTTTTACAAAAAGATTGTTTGCAGAGGTTTGACAGGCTACAAAAGGTTTGGATGCAGACTTCCAGGCTTTCCAGTGTGGGCTTGCAGTGCTGGCCCATCTGGGAGCACACCAGCTTTAGTACTCAACATGCTGGTGCCAAAGTTTATGGCAAAAGTCCTGTTGACATTGCTAGGAGTGTAGGAAGGGCTTTACAGAGCAGCAGCTGTTTTATGCCCTGCTTGATCCAGGAAAGAGGGCAGGTGCTACCACAAGTTTCCCTTCAGCTTTAGGGTGCTGCCAAGAAAAAAAAAAAAATCCAACAGGAGGAACAAGAAGCAAGGAAAACCCAAGTTCTCATATTTCAGTCAAAAAAAAATAAAAATCTAAGGAACAGGTAGACAGGATGTCTCAATTTGAAAGGGATTTATTTTACCAGCATCCTGCTAGTGGAAAAATCACCAATTCTTTTACTGACATTACTAAACTGGTTTCTTCATATACAAGTTCACTTCTCATTAGTAGCTGGACAGACCATTTCCTAAATGCACAGAATAGAAGCAGAAAGATGATGTAGTACTCTAACCTTTTCCCTGTTAAATAGGAAAAAAAAAAAAAAAAAAGTGTCTTTCTGTGATGCATCGCTGATTATTTTCAATGCTGAAATCTAAATTATGGTAGAAACACTTTACTCCCCCCAAAACTGCATTTAAATGGACACTTTGTGTTATGCTCCTTCTCATCAGCCATGGCTCCCCCACAATGACTGCAGGTACAGATGAGACAGGAATCAGTGACCAACTGAAAGAAAAATTCCCAAATTTCTCCTTAAAGAGCAGCTTTGTCTACAAAGGATTACCCTGCCCTGCCCATGGTCTCTGCCAAGCCTGATCTGCTTCAAGTTGTCATCCACAGGAATGATTTCTGGGGTTGCTTTTTACAGCCACTCTGAGATATCAGGTGCAAATTGAGTGGGGCAATTTCTTAGACCTGGTTCTGCTTTCTTTTTCTCTACTAGTTTTTAGTGTGTATAAAATTTTTTTTTGGATAGTGTGAAAATAATCCTACATGAGAGAAAAATGCTTCAGTCTTTCTCAGTCAGGAGGAAATCATATTGCAATACATAACTCTGAATCTCAGGCATAAGTATTACAGATGGAAAAGAATTATTAGGTCATCTAGACTTGTGCAGGATTGTTCCCTACAGTATATTCCCCAGTTCTAAAACTTGTCTAGTTTTAATTGACACTGGCAATGGGCTTTCCATCATGTTCCTTGGGAGGCTGTTCCACTGCCTGAACTCAGTATTAAGAAATATTTCCTGATACTTCTCTAAAATTGCCATTGCTTAATTTTGGCTTACACCACCAATACAGCCTCTTTATACTGCATTCTGTGTTATGAGGCACAAGCTACCACTGCCTTTCCTCGACAAGACATCTCTGCTTATGTGCATTTAATGTATTCATTTCATTGGGTAGATAAATGTATATGAAATAAAGCATCCTCTAAGCACAACATACATTTGTTTTGTACAGCAACTGCTGAATAAAGAGCAGGCCTGAAAGAATTACACTGGTGGAGACTTTGATGTACGAATAGGCAGAAGAGCAGAAGAGGAGAACACATAACTCAGCCCCAGATTGCACCCTCAAGAAATCACGTTGAGATTCCCAACAGGTAAACACCTTGACAAATCCTTACTAACTTGATGAAAGCAGTTCACCAAAATATCGTAAAAGCACAGAGTGGATAACACAGGAGATGGATCAATTTCTTTCCCTACACTTCCACAGTACCCTGTTTAGCTAGAGATGGAATAATGTTCTAGTACATGTAAGAAAAATAAAAATATATCTAGGAATCTCAGGGAAAAATATGTAATTACATAGGAAATGTAATGTAGAGAACACCACTTACAATTGTAGTGCATTTTTTTTATCTTTAAAGTGCTGTACAAACACAGCTAAAGGAGTAATTGGTTTACTTTCACAGATCCCCATGGAGCAGGTGAGTGTTATTCCCAGGTGGACATGGGGGCTCATCCTGAGAAGTGCTGAGCAGATTGCTTTCCAGAGAAGACTAAAAGTGTTTCAAATGCCACAGTGTGACAACATCTTGCACCCAGTTCTAGATCTTGTCTGTTCCAGCTCAAAATCCCTGAGGCCACACAACAAAAATCCCTGGCCTTGTATAAGTTCATGCTACCCTATAAAAACATAATGTGAAAGTTATAACTGCAAAATTTCATAGTCATAGGCATTACAGTAGGCTGTGCATCACCTCTTCTTATCTCTCTTTCCTCACATTGGGCTGGGCACCAACTGTCCTCCGACACAAACACCACACAGACACTAAATAAAACCTTGAAGGCAACATAAACTCTTGATAAGCTGTCCCATTCTGCTGATACCCACAAAAGACATTCATTTCATCTGTTCTGTAAGTATCTTGCAGTAGATCATGTTAATGACTATTAATGAACACAGGACAAAAGCTTTAACATCACAGCTCATAAGAAAATGGTGGTCAGGACCAAAAAAGTAAAAATAAAAAAATAATGAAAAAGAAGTGGTGCTCAGAGCTTTGGTCCTCTGTGATCCAGCTGGATTCTCCATTGAATAACATCAGGTAAGCACATAACTGTTAATTTTGTTATTCACCTGAATTGCATTTAGTTGTTTAAAATTCTGGCATTTTTTGCCTGGTGAACTAGTCATTCAACTACTTGAAGTGACACTTGAATACAAGTCTTCTGAAAAGAATGTAGAGTCCAGGGGTAGTGGGAGAGCAGCAGCAATAGGAGGCATTCTTTGCCAGTGGGAAGAACGAAACAAATTTCCCAGCTGTATCAGTCTGTACCAATCTGAGAAGTAGGCATATGTGGAATACAGGCATTTGGGACCAAATTAAAGGCATTTTCCTTTCCATTCCACTTAGACACTTCAATTACTTCTGCTGTGATCACAGGGTAGGGGATCTCCCACCCTGTACACACAACCTGCAGCGTTCCTCTCATCCCTCCAGTGCTCCCAGCCATATGCTCCTAATGTTCCACAACCTTCCCCTCAACATGCTCAAAAAAACCCAAAACACAAAACTCACTGTAAATCCAAATGTGAGAGAATGAGATTACTGCTTACTGAAATCGAAATGTGAGGAGTTACAGCAGAATTCTGAATCTTTACTGGCATCAGCAAAGATCACTGTTTGGTCTCACAGGTAATTTTCCCACTTGTGAGATGCTCACTAAAGCCCCCACAACCACCACCCCTGACAGAGCTCTGCAGTACAACTGGAAATTCAAGCATTGCCCATCATGACAATAATGAAATATATGGAGGGGAGGATGAGAAGGAAAGGGTGAAAAGTGGATCCCAGGCTGAATGACAGCTTCTGGAACCTCTCCTTCTCCTTGCTGGACCTGTTAAATCCACAGTTTAGTGGTGGCCTCAGGGAGGACAGGGCACCATAGCATGAGTCCCTGTCATGATCAATAAAGCAAGGGATTGAATACCCCCATTTGGATGCCTGGAGCAACCTGTGACCAAACCAGAGGAAAAAATAAGGAAAGAATGCATTTAACTTATCTTATAAAGAACATATTTTCAAAAATCTAATCTTCTAAGGATCTGAGTAGCTTCAGGGTTTTGTTTATATTTTTCATTTAGGAGATTCCCTTGGGTCTTTTCTTTGCCAGGAGCACAGTGGGCAAAATCAGGATCTTTGGCTTCCCCAATGTGCTCAAGAACTCTATGGATAATTTAAGCTTTCCTGCTGCAGTAAAACAGAAAGTTCATAAAAATAAATAGAGTAATACTTTGCACTCATTCCACAGGAGGCTTGTGCTTCATAAAAGCTAGTCAGTGAAACATCTCTTAGAAGTAGGTAAGGGTTGTTTTCCCATTTCACAGATGTGAAAAGGAGATACAGGATGTGTCAGGACCACCTAAGTCACTGAAGACAGTTCTTCAAAACAGTAATTTTGTTTTTTTCTGGAGGTCATGACTAATTCACCTTAATGTGACATGTCACTTTGGCACACTTAAAACATGCCTAAACATATGGATATAAGTGTGTGCTCCAATGCAGTTTCTTGCTGTTAACCTCTCCTCAGAGATGCACACCACATCCACAGGAGAAGCAAACACAAGCCAAACCCTCAGCCATGGCAATGCAAGGACCAGGACACTGCTTGAAATTGCCAGTGAAGATGCAGCAGAACCAAGGTGGTAGACTTTGAGCTGGAGTAGCAAAGCCTTTTGTACAATTTTTATTCTGCTATTACCAGAGTGATGTTTTACATCTCTGCAACAAAAGCTGCTCTCCGTTCAAATGACTTCAGAAAATGGGACAGATGGTCCTTAAAACTGAATCCAGGGTATGCTTCTGATTTCATCCTTTGAAACTTTGATTGCTTATACAATCCAGGTCTTCCAAAATCCCATTTCCTCATTTAATCATAAGAAATTCTATCAAAAGAAAGCCTCTGAGATCATCCGTGTAATCTCAGCAATCACTGCATCAACAGCAGAAACAGAACACAACAATGTTTCTATAACTTTTCTGAAAAGCTGAGTTGCCAAGTGGCTTTTTGTTTTCTCTGCTTCCAGATATTAAATTCCAGTAACAGACAGCTAAAATATATATATTCTGAGCACTCAGTTTTGGTTACTTTTCCATACAAGCAGCCACGGTACTCAGGATGTATTATCCAACGACAGTGGGGCACTGGGGAAGAGGAGGGCCTGTATGATCTCCAGGAAGATCCAGAAAGAAAAGTATTCTTTCAAGAATAATTCAATATATGGTCAAAACAGTGGTAATAACAAGACATGGTGCAATTCCCTCCTTTTTCTTCATTCTCTTCTATTTATGATTCTCTCAATTCGATAGTGCCCAGTATTCTGCAACAGGAAGCAGCTTGCAAAAAGAGGAAAAAGGTTTAAAAGAAATTCAGAATATGTCAATAATCAGGTTGGTTTACTTTTTTTAATTGGTACATTCTTCATCATGATGGCTACTTTACAGAGATCTCTCCCAGGAAGCTAATTTAGCCTGAATAATGGGTAGCTTAGCCTATTAGACTAATTTTCATTACTGGAGACACAGTGATATGGAACTTAAATGCCATCTAACCTTGTTTGAAACAAGTTTAAAATCTAAACCAAGAGACTTTAATCTGGTAGTTTAATCAAAGTTATCACACATTCAGGAACAAAAGATGTGAGCTGCATATTTTCTTTTGTTACAGGTAGAAAAACATCCTTCCCTAGGTAACTGAGTATCCAACCCATAATCCATGTTTTGATGACAGCATTCAACTCACCTGGCTTTAGATGTCTTACTTTTAGATATTTAAAATTACTTGTCTATGCTTTCTCTAAAGTCAAAGGAAGCAGGCAACTCAAGAACACGATTAATGACATGATTAGTAGGATGGGGAAATTAGAATATGGGAGATTAACCTCCTTGGGAGGTGCCTCTACCCTCGTTATAAACAGAACCTAGCAGACTTAAGCCAGATGTTCCCTTAAAATTAAGTCAGACAGAACCAAGATCTCAGAGTTGTCAATACCTCGTGCTTTTTAGCAATATGAAAACAATACAGAGATGCTAGACTAAAATTTCTGTGTTCCTTAAGTCCTGATCCTTTGCCTTCCACTTCCCTATTTTTATTCAGTAAGGCAATTGACATGGTGCAAAGTTCATTTTAATTTAAATAATTTTATCTCTTGGTGAGGTAATCTGACTTGAGTGGTGCACCTTTGGCCTGTTTCTCTCACTGGTTCTTTCTGCTTCTCTGACCAGCTGAGCTTCCAGTTCTTGTCCTTCAAGGCCATTTTCCCCATCAGCACTGGATCCTTGCTTCTCCCTTCCAGCGTTCTCTGCAAGCTCTTTGTCCTTCTTCTGAATATTCTCCCATTTCCTGAGTCACACTGGATTTTTTTCACCTACAAAAAGCAGTCTGTCCCCTGAGTTCTATCCAATTCTGCATCCATACCTGAGCTGAGAAGGTGCTTCTTTAAATTCAATTTAAATGTGTTTTATTATCAGCAGCCTGCTGAAATCAAGAAAGTTTAATTCAATCAAAATAATCCAGAAAAACAGGGGTTAGTGAAGGTAGAACTGCATATTCTTCTATGCCTTGTTAAAGAGGTTCTAGTGCTCAGTGGGAATCAAAAAGAGGAAGAAATATCAAATTATTAGAGAAGAATTCTTTTTCAAATTCAAAGATTTAGGAAGATAAATGACAGTTAGATATTTATCACTTTAAAATGCCTTTAGGTACCCCCAAAAATGTCATCCTTTCCTACTAAATGATGCAGTTTGGTATCAAAAAAATAAAAGAAAAAAAAAACAAAAAAAAAAGAAAAAAACACCAAAACAAAACAAAATAAATAAAAAAAAAACAAAACCCAACCCCAAGACAATTTTAGCACTACTTTTGTTTCATTAAGCTTTTGTTCTAGCCCATGTCCATAAAAAAGCAGCAGCATTTCTGACCTTTATTTCCATCTCAGTGACAATGTTGGTAGAAAGCATGGTGGAAATCCCCAAAGAAAGCCTCAGCTCATTGCAAAACTCCAGTTGTCCAGAAATCAAGAGTGGCATCTGGGTAGCCCAGAGATTTAGGGTAGACAAAGTCAAGAACACAGAACATTATTTCTCTTAAGGAATT